CAACAGATAACAATAACTCTATAATAATAAAATGCTAGAACTGGCAAACATCTTAAAGTGATCACCTGTTAATTCTAGTCCAACTTGAATAACACTTTATAATTGAGGAAATAGATTAACCAAGACTCATTTGCTCACTTGCTAAGGCAGGGAGGCAGTTTCTAGTATTTCAAGAAAGTTCTCCTGTGGGCCTGGGTTCAATCCCCGGGCCTGCCGTGCCAGCCCCCCCGGCCCCCCCCCCCCCCCCGGCCGCAGGCATGCTGAGATGGCAATTGAGACTGGGCGTGGTGGCACGTGCCTGTAATCCCAGCTCTTAGAAGGCTGTAAACAAGGAATCACTATGAGTCTTACCTAGTAGTGAGACCCTGAACACCCTATAGACCCTTCTCTAAAATATAAAAACTATAAAAAATAAAAAAGACAGTTCTGCTGTGGTATTAATGTTACTATCCTGAAGAATATTTATTTTTTATAGAGTACTAAAAAAAAACCCCTACAACCTAGTCCAGTTCTCAGTGTACAGCTAAGAGGTGAGGCTTGATTTCACACTCAAGGATTTTCTGGGGAGGAGGGTAGACTGGCTCCTCTTGGAGGAAGGAAGAACCTAGAGCCATATTCTTCAGACATGGAAAATGAAAGCTAGATGGAATATTAGCTGTTAGAATAAGAAGGTGATTGATTAAATTCAAATAATATTTGAAATAATAGAATTCTGCAAGTGCAGATTTTAGCTTCTGTCTTTATCATAGTTAAGTGCTGGTTATGGAGGGCAGCGCTGAAGTCATCTTTTGAGGATAGAATGTATTTTTTTAAATCTTTTCTTTTTCTTTCCTTTTTTTTTTTTGGTACTGGGAATCGAGCTCAGAACCTCTTCCTTACCAGGCAGGAGCTGTGTTGCTGGGCTATATTCCCAGTGCATTTTTTTTTTGGCAGAATCAGGGATTGAACTCAGGCAGGGAAGCGCTTATCCTACTGAGCCATCTCCCTGGCCCCATCCCAGTGCATTTTAAAAAATCTTAGCCATTGTCATTGAAACATTTTGCTACTTAGGCACAGGACTTTATGATGCCTCATCAATGAATTTATTCTCATTCATTTCCTTTTTTGACAGTTATCAGCCTGGAGAGGGGTGCAAGATAAAGATAACCCATATAGAAACGCTTATAATTATAGTATAATAAAGTAAAAGCAAGCACATAAACATACATATATGACTACACAGCAGTAACTAAATGATTTGGAGGAAAATTATCCACATGCGGGACTTGTCTCTTCATGTCTGCCCTTGCTCCTTCCCTCTTCTGCCCCCTCCCTCTCTTCCTTTCTTCCTTGGATGTTGGGACATGGGTTCACTACATAGTTCAGCTGTCCTTGAACCATGATCCTTCTTGAATACTGGGATTGTAGGCATGTGCCACCATGCCTAATTTTCATTTGTTTTTCAATATGACAGTTCTGCTTTCCAGGGAATTTTATTTTTATTTTTGTATTTTAGAGAAGGATCTACAGGGTGTTCAAGGTCTCACTACTAGATTGGACTTGTAGTGATCTGCCTGTTTAGAGCCTCCCAAGAGCTGAGATTATAGGTGCATACCACCATGCCCAGTTTCCATTGCCATCTCAGTGTGCTCTAGGGGCAGGGCCAGCAAGGCAGGCCTGGGAATCAAACCCCAGGCCCCTTCGCCTGCTTGCAGGTGCTTTAATCTGCTGAGCTATTTGGCCGCCCCTATTAATGTATTTTAATGGCAAGCTGTTGTGTTTTCTGGAAAGTTTCATGATTACCTGTCATTAGGTTATACCATATCAGGTTTATGTTTTGTCTCTGTCCTGGGCCTGTTTTCTAATTTTGTATAGATAAGTGATTCAGATTTATCAAGGTGCTTCATGAAGAATGTGATGATCATATACTACAAACATGTGCCAATAAAAATAAAAATTGGGAAAAAAATCTCCAAAGTTGCACTATATTTTTTTCATATAATTTCTTTCTGCTAAATGTATTTTGTGCTGATAGGTGTCAGATATTTTTTAGCAATCACTTAAATATTTTTAAGTGAACAAAAATTTAGAGTTGAGAATTTTATGATACCTGTTGAACATTAAAATTATCTTAGGATATTGAAAACCTAGACAGGTTTTCACTGACCTAGAAAAATTGAAAGAAATTAGCAACCTAGGTGAGTTTATAAATTCTATATAATTAACACAATTGTCAGCATAGTCGTTAACTACTTACATTCTAGAGTCAGATAGACCTAGGTTTGAATCTTTATTTAAATTGATGCATAATTAATATGCCCTAATATTCATCTTTTTAAATGTACAATTCAGTTTTTAGTAAATTCACAAAATTGTGAAACCATCACTATCTAATTCCGAACCATTTTTATCATCCTAAAACAGTATATACCTGTGAGTAGTCACTCTACTGATGCTTGACTTTTCTATCAAGGACTCTTATGCTAATCCTTTGAAAGCTATGGAAAACTGTCTCCTCATGTAAATGTACATATAACATTCTTTGTTTCATCACACAGACATGTCTTTCAGCAATGCTATTGACCAACTTAGATAGCTTCCAGCCCAGGAGGTGAAGAATGCAGACATCCATTCTGTAAAAGATAGTAATACAAGTGCAGTGTGAAGTGTAGCTGGGTCTAGAGGAAAGAGATATGATTCCAGATGGGCTTAGCATGAGGTAGGCAAATTCAGAGGTGCACAGAGACAAAAACAGAAGTGAAAATATACTGTGTAGAAACTCTATTAAATAAACATGTAAGGGGAAAAGCAGCCACTGGCATCAGATAGACCTGTGCTCTGGGGAGATCCTGGCTGACTTACTGGATGACCCACAATCCCATTTTCCTAACTATATGACAGAAATAATAATATCTTCCTCAAGGCTTTCTGAAAGAATAGAATGAAATAATATTTGTAAAGTGCTTTATATAGTACTCAGAATATAAATGATGCCCAATAAATGCTAGATCTTCTCTTCTTTTTTCTAGTTAAAGAATTCCTTAATAACAATTATTAAGTACATAGTTTGGAGGAGGTACTATACCATGAATAAAAATATGACATTGTTGATGCCCTCAAGGAGCAGAGTTAGCTAGAAATATATGTATGCAAATGAAGTAAATGAAATAAAACAATGTTTTGGAAACTACCAGTAATTGAAGTGCTAAATGTGTGAAAGCATTCATAAGTTTTTAGATTTGGAATTTGATATTCACCAGGTAGAAAAAAGGAAATGGTAGCAGAGTCTTTGGAAGAGGTTGTGCTTCAATTCTAATATATATTATACATAATGAGTTTTTACCTTTTTTCTCATAGGTCAGTGGTATAGATGTTATAAGCCACAAAATGCTAGCAATAGTTTCAGGTCCTTGTAAATTATAAAATAAGAATATCACACATTTCACTTTTGTTTTGAAAAGCAGTTATGCAAATCTTTGAACCTATGGTATATATAGTGGCTGCTTTATAAACTCTTCAGTTTTACAGCCTAGTATCCTATAACTGCCCCTTAACTAGCTAGTTAGCTCAGTACATTTAAAAGATTTCATTTAGAAACAGCTTTTAGAGATCCATCTATTGGAGTTTTGTGTGAGATATAATTGAACTCAGTATTCATGTATCTTGTCAGAGTGATACATCATATATCACCGATATGTGAACATATACCAACAGAAGAATGCAATTTGCAAGCTCTTGTGTAGGTTTCCAATAGTATGAGATAGTGAACAAAAGCTGTTCAAAATTTTAAAAATGCCATTCTCTTTCAATTAACAATTTCAGTCAATATATATTTTATATTTTTCCTTAGGACTAACTTAGAATATTTAGGCACATGGATTTTAATTAATGAAAGAACCATGACAGTACATATTTGTATGTTCAGTTCAGAAATACCAATTGGAGGACAGATAGACTGACCCAAGTGTTTAGTTTCTTATTGGTTGGGGTAATTTCTTTTGCTCAAGTGCACAGTAAAATGAAAGCTATCAGATTTGAAAATTTCTGGCTGCTTACCTTGGTAATTTCTATCTAGACCCAGATTTGCTTCTGATTGTTTTAGACAGAATGGAAAAATACATGGGAGATGAGCTTTAGAGTAAGATCATGCTAGTTTACAGGTTGTTTAATAATAAAACAACGTCAAATCCACAAGATAATGTGATTTTATCACTTTTTGGCAACTATTGCTGAGTAAGTCTTTTTTTTGGCAGAACCAGGGATTGAACTCAGACCCTTGCACTTTCCAGGGACTGAGTAAGTCTTAACAGTGAATTTCTTTCTTGATGAAACGAAGGTTTTTCTGAAGAGAGGGAAGAAGGGAAAGTAAAAACTACCACCTTTTTGTCTCTAGCAATTCAATTTATTAGAAATGGGATGGAACATAAATTTGGATGTGTGGTAATAGGAAATAATTGAAGTTCACACTCTGAAGAACTTATTGTGAACTCAGAACATTTTTCTGTAGCTCGTTTTTATGCTCACTTTCAGAATGTTTTCATTTCAGGAAGCTGAGAGTTAATTTGAAATATGGCTGTTTTCCTTCCACTGCTTGTGAAATGGAAGCGGCTATTATATTTTGCCTTGAAGTGAAATAGACAACAGTATTAGAAAATGGAGACTGAGAATTTTGTAGGGCCTCTGGCTCATCATAGTCCAAGAGAAGACATAAGACATGTCAATGGAAAATACAGGAGAATGATGCATGCCAATGTTATGAGCTAGAAAGGTAACATTAATCAGGAAACCGGAATTCAGAGGTGGCCACTCGATTCTATTTATTAGTGCAGGAGAATAAACTTACACATTTGTCAGAAACAAGGTTTGAAAGGGGAGAAAGGCTTTTTGATTAATTCTAAAATCACTTTGCTATTGCTCAAGCATCCCTGGGGAGTCCAGTATATAAAGTCTCCATCAGTTAGAATATAATTATGACCTATCCACTTTAATTTGGAAATGACTGTGCTTTGTATTCCTTGCAGGTGAAAGCCCAACCTCTGTGGTTCTTAATGCCTCAGCAGGATTATTTTCACTAAAGATGGAAACACTGGAGTCTGAATTGACCTGTCCAATCTGCCTCGAATTGTTTGAAGACCCCCTTTTGCTCCCTTGTGCTCATAGCCTGTGCTTCAACTGTGCCCATCGCATCTTAGTGTCAAACTGTAGCTCTGGTGAAACTATTGAACCTATCACTGCTTTCCAGTGTCCCACATGCAGATATGTTATTTCACTGAATCACAGGGGCCTGGATGGCCTCAAGAGGAACGTGACCTTGCAGAACATTATTGATCGTTTCCAGAAGGCTTCAGTCAGTGGGCCTAATTCCCCAAGTGAGAACCGACGAGAAAGGATTTATAGGCCCAGTTCCACCATGTCTAGTGAGCGAATTGCTTGCCAATTCTGTGAGCAGGACCCACCAAGGGATGCAGTGAAGACTTGCATCACCTGTGAGGTCTCCTACTGTGACCGTTGCCTGCGGGCCACACACCCCAACAAGAAACCTTTCACCAGCCATCGCCTGGTGGAACCAGTGCCAGACACACATCTTCGAGGGATTACCTGCCTGGACCATGAAAATGAGAAAGTGAACATGTACTGTGTATCTGATGATCAATTGATCTGTGCCTTATGCAAACTGGTGGGTCGTCATCGAGACCATCAAGTTGCATCCCTGAATGATAGATTTGAGAAACTCAAGGTAAGCAACCTGGGGATTATCCCTTATACATTTTTGTGTCTTCATATATAATTATACAGTGATCAAGTCACCTAATAAAATGGGTCATTTTTCCTATCTGATGAGTGAGTTAACTCCATGTTGTTCTCAAGTAACCTACTCACCTCTAGCCTCTGATGGGAGCTTATCAGTTACATAAACCTGCTTCATTATTGAGGAGGGGAGTTAGCCCATGACTCACTCTATCAGTAGTCTGTCCAGGGAAGCAGTACCTTCTCTGAACTTGTCAGTGAGTGACATTGCACATTGTATATCTTTGCTATGATCTTTTTGTACCTTTTTTAAAGTGAGTAGCTGTGTAGACATGCTATAGTTAAGCATATGTGCTTATTTGCATAAGTTTGGGTGTGTCTCTGTAGGTATGGGTGGAGGTGTCTGAGTCAATGCAGATGGTAGGTGAGAGATTTTTGTGGAGGACTTTTAACATAAGTTTGTCATTAACTGTTACAAATGGCCATTAATTACTTAACACGAGATTAATTCTAAGCCAGCCTTAAAGAAAAACAAAACAGAAATCAGTATACGATGAAATCTAAGGAGATAGTCAAACATCTGAATTAAAAATTTAAACTGACGGCAATAGTTAATCTAATATCAAATTTGCTGCCAGTGTGTGTTACTGTGGGCTGTTAGACAGAAACACTTGTTTGCCATCCCTGCCTTGGAAGTTCCAAGTTTTTCATTTATATCCAATGGACTGTTTTCTGAAGATGTTGTGCCATGTAATATTTACATACATTTTTTTCCATTCCTCCTTTCCCCTCCCCCTATTTTGAGAAAAGAAGGATAAAATGAAAACTGGGCTCTGTGAATGGAAAGAGGAAGTGGGTTTGAAAAGAGGGGATGGGAATGAGAAACAAAGAGGAGATAAGATATATCTTATATAGGTACAAATGCCCTATAATGAATGTAGTCATTCTGTATATGTAAATTGTACCAATAAACTTTAATTTTTTAAAAAAGAAAGCAAAACAACCTGAAAAAATATTTATATACAAAGCTAAGTGCCTATTTCTAAAGTTCCCTACCTTAAATTTATGTTAACAAATGTCTGATATAGAAAATTGTTTTATTCTCACTGCGTACCTACTATATGGTATGATTTCTTTTAAGAAGAATGTTGAAATGGATGATAAGACTACCACCTCAAAGTAAGGCTTGAGCCTCCAAGCTAAGAGAAAGACTTAGATAGCATGGAAGTAGGGCCAGAAGGCAGTAAAGATTTTCCTCCTGCCATATTTTTTGAAAATTCATTAATACTCAACATAAAAAGTTATGCACAAGCTTAAATATTGCATGGTTTCTCTTATGTGAGAAACTCAAATTACAAATGAAGAGTAAAATATAAGAAACATAATAAGAAGTATGGAGAAAGATCTTTCTCAGATGGAAAGGAGATCAAGAGATTGAAGGAAGAGGGTGGTGAGGGAAAGAGATGAAAAAAGGAATTAAGATGTGTTGTGTACATGTACCAACAACACACAAGGAACGGAGACATTATATTCTACAAGCATGTACTGATGAAAGTTATAAATTATATTGGTGAAGTAGAAGTAAAATAGTATACATATTTCCTTCTGTAATTTGTTGTAGGTAATAAGATTAATCACACTAATGATGATTTGCATCTATGTGGTTATTGTTTATATTTAATGTGCATAAAATTCAGTGTTTATCTTTTGCATTTACTCTAGGTGATATTTTCATGTCAAAACTGAAGAGGGAAGTTCTCATTGATTTGAGCTTTTAGAATCATAAAATATT